GACTTGGACACAGACACGGGCCAATGCCTGCACCGTGGGGACACTGAGGGACAGGATCCAGTGACAAGCGAGGGAAGGGCTAAATGTGGAAGCAATCTGCTGAAGGAGGGCAGGGCCAAGTAGCATTAAGGGGACAGCTGGCTGGTGCGGACTGAAAGGGAAGGAAAGGTCCTGAGGGAAAGATGACACATAGGAAGTAGAGAGGAGCCTCAGGAATCAGATGCAAGGTTGGCTATGACTGAGGGCTTATCCAAAACCAGTTACCCTCATTCTGTTGTTTTTTCTTTTTCCCCAAAGTCCTTTGGTAACCTATTAAGATACTAACTTTTTTCTACTTCTAGGGGATTTAGCTCGCAGAAGCCCAGAAACCAACGACCACCACATACTGCCTGCCTTAGAGAAGGCTTCCAATGTAATTTGTGTTCAATGAATGAAATGATGTTTTTGTGTGCGCTTGATTTCACTTCCGTGTCCTGATTACGCTTTGTGGTATCACTCTTCTGTAGGTCCAACGTCATCTACTTTCTTAGGTCCCTCAGAACTCTGCTGCTAGGGTGTGTGGATGAGCAGTGCCTGCTGCACGAGATGAAATTCAATTAACGTACATTTGCACAAACATACTGATATTAGAATTTGAATTATGTATACAGTTTTCTTTGCATGGTGTCTACTGCTTACAGATCTCATTGTTTCACTCTTTCAAAGTTGCCCCTAACTCTGGTTTGCTCCCCATTTTCCAGACGTGCTCTTCACACTTAATGCTCTCGAGACTCCTAACTTAGAAGGTCCCGCTGGATTTTTGTTTTTTCCTTAAGAGTTTACATCCGTACGCAAGTCCTGAAATTTTCTAAACCTCAGTTTCCTCATGCTTAAAATGAGAACAAGAGGATCCAGCGCCGAGTTGCCTGTGATAAAGGAGATCGTTCACGTCCTTGTGCATTTCCAATCTCAGCTCTCTCATGCACCATCTGTGTGGTCTTGTGTGAGTCCCTTCCTATTCAGGCTCTGATTCCTCCCTTGTGAGATGTGGCAAGGGGAGAAAGAATTCTGCAGTGCGTGGGTTCAGTCTAAGGTCGTTGTGTCCCAGCTGGGCTTGCAGCCTGGCTATGTGCCCTCAGGCCCTTCTGGGTCTCCCTAGGCCAGCCTCAGCTCTTAGCTGCGAAGTGAGCATATTAATGGCATCTGACTAAGGATCAGTGATGCTTATCCAGGAGAGGTGTTGGCTGCCAAGGACTAACACATTTTAGTTCTCTTATAGTGGAGATGGGTGACAGCCTTACAGATGATGTCACCAGCTGTTAAGATCTTCTGGCCCCTGCTTATCTAGCAACTTTTCCAGAATTTGGCTCTCCATATAGCTTGCCTGTGTTGCAACTCAAGTTATATCCATTTACCCCAAAGCAAATCTTAGTGTTTGCGTTTGGAGTGATTTGGGTTCAATTGTAAGGGGAACATATACACGATTTATGCTTTGTTTGGAGACTCCCGGCAGGTCCCCCACTGTGGAGCTGCCGATGGGAGAGCGTATCTCCTTTTCTAGGTGGCAGAAGTGGGAATCAAATCTGGGTCTCTGTCACTTGAGAGTTGAATGGGGAAGATATTCTGCCTCTTGTCAGAATCTTTGTGTTTCTTTTTCAAATCTACCAGCAGTACTGGTCATGGACATCAGAGTAGGTTGTAAAGGCACTAACTAGCCAGGCTTTTGCAAAGGAAAACTGTCCTCACTCTGATGCCTCATAATGGTTACTGGGCTGCCCATACTGGAATTGTAGTTTTGGACAAAGACCAGTACTTGAGATATAAATTCTTACATGTTTTGGCGGCTCTCTTTTGCTTTTATGATATTATGACAAAGTGAAATATGTTGGGGCACCTGACTGGCTCATGGGATGGATCGTGGGACTCTTGATCTTGGCATTCTTAGTTCGAGGCCCACATTGGGTGTAGAGATTGCTTAAAGAGAAAATCTTTCAAGAACAAAACCAAAAACAAACAAACAAACAACCCAAGGTGAAATAGGCAACTCCTGGGTCAATCTTTGAAAGTTTAAATCCTCCCTTCTTTATGTCTTTATCACTTGCCAACTTGGGTAATCTTTAGCATCAGATCATACTGTCCCACAAATACGCACTGTAACTTCAAATAATCAAGTTGTGCCAAGTATTCATTTTAACAAATGAGCTACAGCCTGTATGTCCTATCTTAGTTGGTGGCACAACCTTGACCTACTCAGCCCAAAACTTGAGACTTTTGTGACTCTTCTCATTCCACTTCAACCTCATCTTGCTGACTTAACCTCCAATGTGTTTCTGATCCTGTCTCTGCCTCTTCATCCTTATGTCCATTGGCCTAGTGCATCTTCATTTCTTTCCTATTTAAAAGGTCATCTAAGTGGTTTTCCTGCCTCTTGGTCCTAATACTCTCAAATCAATCCTAAAATTAAAACCGACCCTTCTTGGCTTAGAATCTTCCGATTGCTCCCAATTTTAACTTTTTTCTTCTCAATTTTAACTTCTTAGTGGGTCCCATCCACACCTCCAAAGTCACCCCAAATAGGCATACTAGAGTTCCTTAAACTTGAAATGTTACTCATGTCTTGGCCCTTTGTTGTTCAGATGCCTGGAATCCCGTTCCACGCAGAAACTGGGAAGGCTCAAACCTCTCTAACAACTCTCCCTCCCATAGGCAGGTTGATCTCCTCTCTCTGCCCTAAATTTTGTCATTATTTGCTTACATCTGTTTCTCCTAAAAGACGCTGAAGTCTCTGATGGCAAAGATGTGGCTTATTCTTTTTTGGTCTCCATCACTTGATTAATGTTTGCTGAATTAACAGATATAAGAACACATTACTGATGCGCTTGTCTGAACATGTTTGGGTTCATTCACAAACATATATAAGATCTTTTGTTACCTGGTGTAAATAATTATAAAAAACTAGCACGGACAGGGTGCTTATTACTATATGCCAGGAACACGTATTAACCCACAGGGTTGTAAATGCTCACAACCCTACGAAGTAGGCACAAATACGATTTACAGTTTACAGGTGAGGGAAAACGGAGGCTCAGAGGTTAAGTGATTTAGTCAGAGTCAAACATCTAATAGTGGCACAAGACCCAAGGTCAGTCCCACACCTGAACCTCAGCTGAACCGCTACGTGGGGGTTATTACACTGAGTAGGAATTAGAACGACGATGCATACTCCACGGAGGGTAGGGCTCTTTGCTTTGCTCACTGCTGTGCTTTCGGGCTCAGAATAGGATGCCCTGGACATGCTGAGTGATGAACCCAGTGAGGCCAGAAGCCTAGCACGGCCATTGAGAGAGGCCAAAATCCTTGTCCACTGCTCCAGCTTTGAATCCTAATTACACACGGTTCCCCCCGTGTGTTCCCCCAAGTTTCCTGCTTCTCTTCCTGGGAATGGGCTGCTGCCTGTCGGTACTGCCCGCTTCCTCCCATTCCTTTTCCCCATCCGGCTAAGTCATCGCCGGTTCCAGGCGGCTTTCCCTGACTAGCGAGGTTTACATCCTCTGCGATTTACTGCATTTTCCTTAACCCTTTCTGTCTGCTGGACTGCGGCTCGGTCTTACTTATTCATCCTTCCGTCCCGCGGACGTTTGCCGTGCCCTCCAAGACGCGAACGCGTCCGTGTCCGCGGACCCCTGGCCTCCCCCCCTCAACCTGTGGCTTCCCCGCATCCGTCCTCTCCTCCCCCGGGAAAGCTTTGCGGGCCGACGTTCTCCTCTCTGCGGGTGGTGCGACTCTCAAGTTTTACGGGTTTCGCGTCCTCCAAGCGAGCGATCTTTCGTGAGGGGCAAACACACCGGCCCCAAATGACTGTCCGAGAAACGTCCCTTCCTAGAGCCCGAAGCGGGCGACCCCGCCAGACCCGCTGCGCGTTCCGGGCCTCCGTGGGGAGCGACTTCGTTCCGGCGGGGGCACGGGAACCTGCCCCGGCCCCCGCCCCCGCGCACCGGGTCAGGGCATCC